TTTTACACCTTTTTTTACATTTTTAGCACCTTTTTCTCGCCTTTTTTCACACCTTTTTTCACACTTTTTTCACATTTTTTTCTCACCTTTTTTCTCACCTTTTTCACACCTTTAACACCTTTTTTACACCTTTTTCTTATCTTTTTTTCACACCTTTTTTCTCACCTTTTTTCACAGCTTTTTTTTTCACCTTTTTTCACACCTTTTTTCACCTTTTTACACCTTTTTTTACCTTTTTTACACCTTTTTCACACTGTTTTCACACCTTTTTTACTGTTTTGACAAACTTGGTATGATAAATAGAGTTCTGAACTGTTTATATGAATTTAATATGATTAAGTATAGAGTTCTATAGCAACCTTGGCCTGACTAATATAAAGATTTGGCATTTGACTGTAAAGATAGTCTTTAATAATAAAGATAACCTTTCTCAAAGGATGAATAAGTTGAGGACTTGGCCTTTCTCAAGGAAATAAAGAAGTCTGCACAACGATGCACTTTATACTTCATTGTATCTCATAATAGAATACAGTACAGCTGGCTTATTTCATCTGGAATTAATTTTTGCAGGCTCAAATCTACATGTACTAAAATTAATTCCACTAAATACAATGTATTGATGAAAATTTTGTAAACCACGAAAATAAATTAATTCTAATGAGAACCCTAAAACAAAAATTTGAGACCACAAAATAAATCAGCAGACTGTATTTGTTGTTATTTTGATGATGATTGTAATTTCCATAGGTTGAGACAAATAACTATCATAGTACAGGGTCATTGGCTGAATTTTGCCAAAAATGACTAGGAGAGAATTCTCTATTTTTATAATTTTTTCTGATGCATATACATGTCCTTATGTTGTATATCAAGTTTGAGCTGATTCCAATCAAATTTGGATTTTTTTTGAATTTTTAAAGTTCCTCAAAAATCTGTACAAAAACAGTGGATTTGTTAGAAATTTTTTATTTTTCAATTTTTGCTTAATAGTAATACAAATAGTGATAGGAGAATTTTAATGTAGTCATTGTTACTTTATTTCGGTAAAATTATTCTTATGTTTCTGTGTCTGATATTTCATTAGGTGAGTTTACTTTGAGAGACATGTATGAGCAGTTTCAGAATATTATGAAAATGGGACCGTTTAATCAAATCATGGGAATGATCCCAGGATTCCCGGCCGATTTCATGAGCAAAGGAAATGAAAGAGAGTCCATGGCTCGACTAAAGAAGCTAATGACAATCATGGACAGCATGAGCGATGGTGGTAAGCTAACAAAAAGATCTTGAACCGTTTTTGATACACTTCAAGAGTTAGACCATCCGAATGGAGCGAAACTATTTCAACAGCAACCAGGCCGCTATGAAAGGGTTGCTAGAGGATCTGGGACGTCTGTGAAGGATGTCAAAGACCTCATGACTCAGTACAGCAAGTTCTCTCAAATGGTGAAGAAGATGGGAGGAATAAAAGGACTCTTTAAAAGTCAAGAATAATGAGTATTGACCATCTTACGTTATAGCTACTGTAGGTGGAGATATTGGAAGGAACGTCAACCCAAACCAAATGGCAAAAATCAACCAGCAGATGGCTAGAATGATCGACCCTAGGGTGTTGCAGCAAATGGGTATGGAGTGATAGTATTAATGCATTGCAATGAGTTTTTGTTAATTTTTTCTTAGGTGGAATGGGAGGATTACAGCACATGATGAAGCAGTTTCAGCAAGGAGCAGGCCCCATGCAAATGCCAAAAGGAAAACGCTGAGCTGGTACTTGTTAATTATTTTTTGCTAATTTATGTATAAATACCACTTGTATAACAATCATTTATTCTACATTGTATATATATATGGTACTACCACTATTTTTTTAATTCAGAAAAGGGAAGGTTCTGGTGTGTGTATTTTAATGACGTAAGTGAGACCCATCAATTCGGTTGGTGGTGTTGGAAGCTGTGTTATGATGACTAGTTTGAAATTGTGTATTCTTGCAGACAAAAAGCTATTGGCAGAATATGCCTCACCATCTGCTGCCTTGATTAGCTTCAAATACCTAAAACAATTAAGACTAAACTCTTATGATCAATTTGCACCAGTTTACCTTTTCTCTTTTAAAAAGTTCTTTGAAATAAGCGAAGGCAAAAGGTCAGGCTGGACACAGTCGAATTTCTTAACGACTGCTGGCCACAAATCATCAATGTCACACAAATCAAGTACAGCAAACTTTCCATAGCGAAGTGCTCCTAGTAGATTCAGTCGAATTGTTTCTGGCTCCATGTGTTTGGGATTCATTGCGTTCATATAATTGGTGTCTCTATAGACGAGGAACGTAGCACATTGTCGGCCATGATCCAATATAAGAGGCCACCTTTTGTCGTAGGTTATAAAATAAAGACACTGTATGTACGTGTATGTACTTGTTGCTTTCGGCTATTTTATTGCCAACGTCTTTCATAAGGACGTCATCCATTTCTCTGATGTTCACAGTTACGTCAACAGGAGTATTCTCATCATCCTCTTCATCATCGATATCTAATAATTATTATACTAACATTTGTAGCGTCACTATAGTAATGTAACTTACCTGATTTGAATTCCTTTCGTTTCATTCTCATTTTTAGCTTTGCCTAATGATAATACAGGATTAAGTCAAGGTTGATTGTGTATCTCTACCTCTTGAAGTTTCTCTTTTGCAGATTGTGCATTAATTTTGCATTTCTCTAAAAGATCTTCAGCATCATGAACAGCCTAATAAATATTTACTATGTGAAATAGTTGGGTAAAAAAGTTATTTTCAATTGCACTTATTGCATTCATGAAATACAAATTTGATCCAATCCCTGAATTGATTACCGTTAGCGTAAGGTCCTGCTTGGTTGTTTTGTTCTTGTCGTGTTCATTGATTCGTTTGTTCAGTTCCTCGTTTGCTTTTATGAGCTAATTTACCAATAATAATAACACAATGTAGTTAATGTACTTCAAGCCCTTACCTCCTTTTGTTTGGCATTGTATTCTTTTTCTGCTTCTTCTATTTCACTTTGTAGCCTTGAAGAATTTAAAAACATACATGTACATAATAATGTCTTGAAATCATACTTGTCCTTCTGAGATTGCCATATTTTCTCATCCATTTCCAGCCTTTGTTTCTGTCTCTCTTCACAAATTACTAAAAGCTTCTCAGTTTCTGAAATGTCCCAATTCTGTAACAAGTATTGTATTTCTTGACTGGATGCAACCTATGCAGTAATTTTTATTGTTTAAGTCACTACAGCACTTCATTCATTATTACTTGCTCTGGGGTAGCTCCATCATCAGCATAGACTCTTGGGTCGGCTCCAGACTCTAATAAAACCTAAATTATGAAATAGCAGCACCACCTGCACTAGACGAATTCACCTTAACAGCTTCTGTACGACCCGAGAATGCTGCTCTGTACAAAGGTGTCCGTCCATATTGTCCTTTAACATTGGGATTGGCCCCATTGTTTATTAAGAAGTTAATTGTAAGAGGGTCACCTGTTAATAATGAGTGCATAACATAAAATTTTAAAAGGCGTATTATAGCTACCTCCAGCAGCTGCTTCAGATAGTGCTGTGTTGTCATTAGGATCAGAGCATTCAATCATTTTGTATTGAAAACGTTTCACGATAGACTCTCCAGCTTCTGAGCAATTCTTTGCAACCTTGTTAAATGTGAATAATAAAATCATTCTGAAGAGTTTTTTGAGGAGCATACTTCTTCCAAAATGCCTTTAATTTCATCAAGGTCTCCATCAAAAGCTGCTTCCAGAAATCGCTTTATACGCTGAGCTGCTGCACGCTTCCTTCTTCTCTCTTCCTCTTCCCTTTGTCTCTCCTTTTCCGCTTTTTCTCGCTCAATTTTAACAACTTGCAAGTACGCTTCTTTTTGAAGTCGTTCTATTGCATCATCAAATTCAGCTTTCTTCTTTTTCAGTTCCAATAAAAGTTTGCGACTCCTAAAGAATATGTAATAGGCAATGACTGTGCTGCAGTTAACAGTTGCTAGGTCTAACATGCTAAAATTCATAAAGTGGGTGGATTATACCTATAGCCTCTGTATATTGTCTGTATTTTTCTTGCCATGTCATCTTCTTTGCTCCAAACTGGTTTCTTTGGCTTTGGTTGTGCTGCTACTGGACCTGATTTAGTTTTTATAGAAGCTACTGCAGCTCCACGCCCTCCTCCACTTGGTTTAGCAGCAACTCCTGGCCGCTTTTCAGGCACTGCAACTTTACCTCGGACTGGAGTCTAGATAATAAAGAATAAAAAGTCTCAAATGTTACTTTGAAAGTACTTTTTTCACTGCAGGGCCTTTATATTTTGGAGGCATTCTGCCTGCAACTTGCAAAAAGGCGTGGCTGGATTACAGTCACGCCCAAATAATAACCCCGCCCATTGCTTTCTTCTTGAAATTTCTTTCACGTCAATCACGTGATCAATCTATTCTTCTTCGCTAGCTAGCTGTGACTGCGATATTCATTTGACCTTTGAATTTCTTCTCAAACGGCCATGAGTTCCGAGGAAACTTGTAAAGAAAAGACCTGTAGCACATACGATTGGTTGTGCGCTAACCCTCTAGCCTCGTCTTTTGGTACTACGCTCTGTTCCATTTATGGCGCATCCAAGAGCTACAATGGAGTGACTAGCTGGACTTTGGGCTCTGTTGAATCTGCTGTCGGTTACGCCTCGTCTAAAGCACAGCCTCTTCTTGATGGAGTTTCTGGTAAACTTGAAGGACCAAGTAAGATTTTATGGGAGGGGGCGGAGGTCACATTTATGGTGTCAATTTTTTATTATTTTCAAGTTTTATTTGAGTAAATTATCATGACACATATTATATTAACTTCTCTCCTGGCAATAGCAATTTGCTTCTTTGTTATTGGCATTGGGCTAACCGTGTGTAGTAAATAGTAATCCTCTCTTTGTTCTATTGTATTCGAATGTCAATGTTCCACGAACATTACAATTACTTGTTCCTCTAAGCTGATAGCATGTGTTTCTCTATAGTTGAATATGTTGATTCTTGTGTTGCGGGCGGATTAAAGAAACTTGAAGATAAGTACCCTGTTGTTGGAAAACCACCATCAGAGGTGATTATATGCATCCCTAAATAATATCAAATACTATTTTTGTTAAATTGCTATAGATAATGAGTGAAGGGAAGCAGGTGGTCACCACTGCAATTAGTGATGGCCAGGAATATCTGAGCAACACTCGTGCTGGAGCCATCATTGGTTATGGTGTTGATAAAACTTTGAACATTACCGAAGGCCTCGTCGATAGCATTTTGCCACCTGAAAATGATGACGAAGAAGCTTCTGAGGAAAAGACTGAGTGTGGTAAGTAAGAATAGGTCTTATTTTTGGACTTTTATTTTTATATGTAGAAGAGCCTGAGTCTTCTGTTGCTGCACCTGTCAAGAAGACTAAGAAGTCTTGGTTTGGTCTTAGGAAGAGGAAGCAAGTTGTTGTGAAGGAAGACCCAGAACCAAAACCAGAGCCAGAACCAGTTGGTTAGTTACTGGCACTACTACATTATAACTTATTTGTGTTTTTTTTACATTTTTGTAGAAGTTACTGCCTCGCGCTCTGAGCGTGCCTACAACATCTCCTATGCCATTTACTATCGGTCTGTAGTAAAGCTTCATTCGCTTCAGCAGCAAGTCTTTGTCTCTCTTCAAAGGCTAAAAACCAGTTTGAATCTGGTAAGTGTTATGATCCTACATGTAACTGATTATTACATCATCTTCTCAAATCATTTGTCTCTTAACAGCTCCAATATGCCCAGAGCATTTCTTCTGGGGTTGACAAGCAAAGGCAGAGTGTTGCCCAGGCACTCTCAGATGCCGAGGCCAAGATTCGTAACTACTTGTCCCAAAAATGCAAAACCAAAGAGCAGCAATCTTCCTACAGCTGGCTCTCAGATGGTGAAGATGGCGAGAACATCAACTGGTTGATTCAGCCCGACAGCAAAAAGGTCAGTTACATTGTATTGATGATATTACTACTGCTTTTGTATGGTGTTTAGGGTATCTTTCAATCCGCTTTCGAATATGCCAAAACTGCTAGTGGAAAAGTCCTGGAAAGCCTTCAGTCTCTCTCGTCCCTCAATGGATACCTCCCTGTTCGACTTCGGAAAGGAATTGAAAACGCCATCCAACAGGTTGTTGTTTTAAACGAATTCCTTGATTGATTGTGATAACCTCATGCGTAGGCTCGTGATGTTTACACTACACTCAAGCTAAACAATGTCCCTGCTGAACTACCTTCGTTCCTTCTTAGTCAAGTATTGGACGTCGTTGAAACTCAAATGGTGTTCTGTAAGAAGCTAGGAGGCTACATTACTTCCTTTCTGCTCAAGGTAGTATCTTGTAGACTCAAGTTTGTCCTAGTGTGTACTATTTATGCTTGTTTAGGCTCGAGTTGGCTCAGCCACAACTCCTGATGATGGATCTGAGACTAGTAGTCAGGGTGTGTCTGAAGTACGGCTGGATTTAGATGAAGAGGAGGAAGAGGAAAATGAGGACGAAGACAAAATATAATACTAACATTTGATTAACCTTAACATAAATAAAATAATACACGTACATGTACATGCATACACTAGTGTGGTAATTTTGTTGATTTAATGGAATGATTGTTGGGTGTGGTTACCACGCCCATCACTAATTGCAGTGTAGTCGTACAATCTCAGTCCATTAATTTTTGTTCCTTTGTGGTGTTGGTTTTGCCGAAGAGATTAAGTAGAGGGATGGAGGGAGAAGATAACTTCATTTCCCAGACCTCTAATGTCCTACCACAGTCAGATAAAAGCCATGTTATCCTCGACCCAGTCATTGCCATAGATTTGGCTGCCCCTCTTCCTGATCTCCCCGCCTTATCCTTGCCAGAAAACGCTGACGCTACCTACACTGACATAATTACGGCCATGGAAGCTTCGGACAACAACGAAGAAAACGGTGAGTTAGATTTTAAGCTTAAAATTTGTATTATTATCCCATATTGCCACCTCTTATTGATTTACTAAGTGAATTTTTCGCCTTCTTTGGTAATTGTTAGTGTAGGAGAAATAAACTGACATTTTTTTGCTCCGACTAGTACGACACTACTCAAAGACATAATTAGTGTGTGCATGCTATCATTAATTAAAGTACTAATTGATAGTATTTATCATTTTACATTATAATGAATTTTTAAAATAATGTTTGTTTGTCTCTTGTACATGTATATGTTTGTTTATGTGCTTATGCTGTGAACAACGTTTCGTTTATTGTTTTTATTTTAATGTACAAACTGCTGTGGCCCAGACTGGCCCTTGTTGTAATAACTGGTGTAATAATTGGTGGTTTTGAGCAGCAGGTGTATTTTTAAGTTATCTTATCTATTCATTTTAGATGAATATATGTGTATGGACCAAAGCATCAGTGAGGCTCCTCTTATATCTGTCCCTACTCCAGACCCTGTAAGGGAAGATTCACAGCCAGACTTTTTATCAATAGAGACAGAGACACGCACTACTAACACTGGAACTACACCTTATGAAGTCCCTGTATCCTTACGACTGCCATCAGCTCGTGCTTCATCATCATCATTCCCTCTCTCCCCTCCTTCTCAGCCTCCTCCTTCTCCTCCACTTGGGCCTCCTTCTCCATTCCAGCCTCCTCCTTCTCCCCTTCAGCCTCCTCCTCCTTCATCACTCGAGGCACCTCCTTCTCCTCCTCCTTTTCAACCTCCTTCTTTCATTCCTCCTCCTCCTCCTATGTCTTCTCCTTCACCTCCTCCTCCTCAGCACATCCCCCCACCTTTACAGATCCCTCCAGTCGAAAGTCCTACAGGTAATCAACTTTAAAATGTTGATTTTTTTCATCATTCTGTCATAATAGAGGAGGTATATGAGGACATTATTCCAGAAGCGTCTCCATCATCAGTAGAATCAGCCACCTATGACAATGCCAATGAGCCTACATCATTGTATATGGCTATTGATGACCAGGACTCTCCTGATGACACTTATGATGACATACCTGCCAATGGTAACACAGTAATCTATTATATGTCCATTTATTCAGTTTGTGTGTATAATGCTTATATAGAGTCATATGTTGAAATATTGCCGAATAACCAGGTTCAAATGACTGTGAGGCCACCACAAAGTAAGCTTAACAGATGTTATTCTGTCTTTCATCAGTGTATTAGATCAACAAGCATATGTGGCTGAGAATTCAAGCGAGACTACTGCTGTATTGACAGGTAAGGAGATGATTTCACGTACTACAATTAGTTCATATTTACCTAATGGATGTGCGTGACACTGTACACTTCCATATATATGATATGCATGTTCACTATGCATGTACGATGATATATTTGTTGTGTAGGATGTGACACACATGTGACTACTTATGAATACAATTAATTATATATTTTGGCTTGCTGTATGAAAATACTGCTTTAAAGTCCATGTTTATGTTACATCGTGCATTTGTTATATTGATTTATGATTTACTAAAAATGACATATATGGAAATCATACAGAGTTCTCATTATTGCTATGCAATTACTGTGTAGGATTTGTAGGTCTTTCTGAAGAGGCTCCTCCATCATATGATGCTCTGTTTGGTGGCCCACCACCTCCAGCTCCAGCTCCTGCCCCAGGACCAACTTCTTATGTTGCTCCTAGACAGGGCCATGACATTAGAGGAGCATTTAGACCACCAGTTGTCTCTCAGACACCAGCACCCGTGCAAGTAAGTCGTGATATGCCTGATAATGGGGACGGTGATGAAAACTGGTGCTTAAGCACTGTCAATAGTAGCCCCATCAAGACAGGTTAGGCTGGAACATTTATCTTAATCATGATCATTATCATTTTATTATAGGAATCTATCTCTTTATTTTCTTACTTGGTATCTTTGTACCACTGGGAATGCTAGGACTTGGTACGTTTTGAAACAACTACACGTGAATGAAGTTTGATTTATATATTTATTAGGCGTTGGGATTTATATTACCGGATCATCTACAGACTCGACTAGTTTGTCTGGCAACGTTCCTATATATCTTATCGTGATGGGAAGCTGCTCTTCCTTCTTTGTCTGCTGGCATACTACAGCGCTTGTTTCTGGTGCTTATATTCGAGCTCACAACACTCCAAGGAGACATTCGACCTCGTCTTGTTGTCTACGTGTATTACATTGTGGCGGTCTAGTCTGGTGGGGTGCACTAGGTTACTTATCTTATATAGTCTATCAAATGAGAAATGACATTACTTTCGACCTCCTCACCATAGCTCTGCTTGGTTTTATCGTCTTCCAGTATCTAATGGTTCTCTATTGCTTGCTGGAGGCTTTTGTTGACTGTCGCGTGTGTGTGAGGGAAAGGTGTAGGGACACTGACGATGATGATAGATTCTGATTGTTGTTTTATGTTCATTTTTATGTTTCAGTGTTGGTTGTTGTTCATACCAAGATAATGAATTTAGCTATAGGTTAAGGTATACGGTATTATTAGGGTGTGGCTGGGTTATAATAATTATGAATGTGTTTGAATTGATAAACTAGCGCTAGCCTAGGCGGGGTGAACTGTGTACTGTTTATGCTTTTAGCATGGAGCTGGAAGAAATATGCAGCGAATCTGATGAAGGTCGAAATAATAGCCAAGATCCTCTCGATATTGAGATAAAGGACTTGTTAGTGGAGACTGTTCCCCAGGAGACGAAGTATAAAAACTGTCTGAAATGGTTTGGATGTTACCTTTTTAGGTATACATACATATAATAGTTACTATTGTTTTTATTGTAATGTATAAACTCTTGGCTGTTCGTGTAGTAAGTTGTTGGAGTTTACTGGTTTCAAGCTCACATCTGTCCAAGAGGTGTACTGGAACGCTGTACAGCGCCGAATGGTCATGGGGCAATTGGAGTACCTAGTGGAGAAGAAAAAGATTAAAGATCGCATTCCGTCTAAATTGGCTGTAGCTTTAATGAGTGGCGATGAAGGTATTGTATTGAATAGATTGCAGTAATAATTATTATTGATTTTTATTTGTAAATATCTGTTTCATTTGTTTATATTTTGTGTATTGTAGCTATTGAAACATGTCTGAATAGATTATGCGACAAGAAACATATACTGATATCGCAACAAAAATCGAGAGACCCTTCTTCAGAGACTGATGAACCTAGCACGTCGCAAAGGTTTGAAACTATTACGTGTACATGTACATATACTCGTATCAGCAATGTACATGTACATGTATGTATGGAAATCCTTTTATTTTAGACATACACATGTATTTGGTGAGGAGGAGCCAGACACTGGGCGATTGGAGGACGAGAATTGTATAACTATTAAAGAATTATCCAGTAACATGCCTCATGCTGAAGATGTGCATGAGTTGCTAAAAGATAAAGGAGGATTTTGGGATCAGGCCTGGCTAGCCTTGAAGTATTTATACAATAAGGTTAGGGATGATAGTGTGTGATCGATTGACCATGATATTAGTGGTGTTTTAGTCCCAAGGTGTTTATATACTTGGGGTTGTATTTAGTTACTAAAAAACATGTGAAACATTCTGTAGCATAGTATTACATGATGGATTAGCCAGTTATTAAAACTGGTCATAACTTGAGAATTTGAACTCCGAATCACCTCAAACTTTCTACACAGCATAAAGACATCAATATGTATCAGAGAATGTGATAAAAATTGGGGGTGATTTCGGAGCCATTTTTTTAAAAAAACCATGGGCTATAGCACAGGGAATTTTTCAGAAAATGAAACATTTTAAAAAATGGCCATAACTTAAAAGTTTTAGTCGGAATCACCTCAAACTTTCTACATAGGCTAAGGACATCAGTATGTATCAGAAAATGTAATAAAAATTGGGGATGATTTCGGAGCCATTTTTTGGAAAAAACCGTGGGCTATAGCTTTTGCTTTTTTTCAAAAACTGGCTAGTTTTTAGAAATTGGTTTTTCACTTATGTTTTAGTAAAGAATGCTAGCTTTTTTTAATCATTTTATTAAATTAGAAAAAAGGAGCTGTTGCTGCTACTGAATCAAAACTATACGACGAGTCGTCTGACGATGAATTTATAGACGGTGATATCAGTGACATTGGAGTAAGTGTCAACAGTTACATGCAGTGAAGCTTCACTGTCTGACAGTTGCAAATTAAGTGTTGACTTGTCATTCAATATGTGCTTATTGAACTGTTGTAATTATTCTTTTTTTTTATATTTAAGTCTGAAGACATGTTTTTTGGTAAAGATATATACTTAAAGAAGGAGACCCCATGCGAAGGGTAGGCTGTTTTGTAATTATTATAATATTTTTATAGTATAATATTTTGTGACAGAACCGATGGTGAAGAAGCTGCAGAGGAAGAAGAAGCTGCAGACTTTGGATGTGAGCTAAGAACATAAATTTTGTAGCATTTTATGATAATGTGTATGCGTAGTGAGTGCATTGAAGAGGAGGATCCCTGTGTCATCGTATAAGTTGCACGAATTGAATGATCTCCGTAAGTCCCGTTGGAACCAGTTCAACGAGTACATCCCACTGAGAGTATCAAACTTTCAATATCGAGGAGTTAACAAGGTCAGGAGGGCCAAACTAAATGAGATGTGGAAGAAAGCAGCTCGCTGGTAAAGAGAATTGCATTTTTGTGAAGGTGATTGTATCCACCTGTCATAGGCCCTTGTTTACATACTGGGTCACTGTTGTGCAAATAATCATTGTTCTATTGACATTGTCTGTACACGGTTTCGCCCCATTGAGATATGTTCCTTACACTGAAAGAGCTTTGGTCAGTGTATACTTGATACGTGTATGTATTGCATTACTATTGCTATTGTTATTGAAAATAGATCCAACTTTCTGATTTATCAGTTCACGTCGTCGAGAAGAACATTACACCTAATATATGGGCCGGACCTGATAGGGTAAGTGTTCTCATGTTTTTTTTCATGACCAAATCCTCTTTATAACTTATCAGGCATCACTAGTTCTCCTGGGAGCTAATTACGGCCCTTGCATGAGGAGATATGATCCAATACAGAATGTGATAAACTCCATTAATCAAAGAGAGTCTCTGTCAGGTTGCTGTGTTAGGAGGGACTCCTCCGGTTGTGTTCAAACTCTTTCAAACACTGACTGTCCTAGTGAGGTATGGTCCAACTTATTTTATTCTGCTGGAATATTTATTGATTGGGACAGATTGGGCTAGCTGATTTCGTGATCTTTGACAACAGTACAGAACTGGATACCTCCCGCTATAGTAATAGAGCTGTCTGTGGAACATCCCCAAGGTTATTTGCTTCTTGCCTATCATATTATTATATTATTATCATTTACTTTCTAACCATAGAACTTGTACATCACCTAATCCAAGTGTTGATCCAAGATGGATGTCTGCCAATGTAACTGGATGGCCAGTAAGCATATTATTATTATTATTATTATGTAGAACTTATTTGTAACTCAAGCAAAAAAACAGCGTCACATTTACATTCTCTTCATTTAGATATGCACTGATTCGGTGGCTTCTAACTCTGAGCACCTGTCCTGTCGAGTAACAGGACGGCCTTGCTGTGTGGGGATACAGGCTCAGTGTATAATCACGTCGCAGGAGCACTGCGATTTCCTTGAAGGAAAGTTTCATAAAGATGCTTTTCTTTGCTCACAAGTACACATGTGTCATTTGCAACCATTTTGATTCATTGCATACATAGGTTAACTGTTTGAAGGGCATTTGTGGCTTGACTCCTTTTGGTAAGACTCCAGACCAAATCCAAAGGCTAGGCCTAGCTGTCTTTCTCCATGCTGGGTAACAACCCTTTAAAATACTTAGTTCATTTGGAGTTTTTTTTCTGATAGGATTTTTCACGTATTATTGACAATCATTTTCAATTTCTACATCCTTCGAGATCTGGAGAAGTACCTTGGTTGGCTTGCTACTGCTACGCTCTACATAGGAAGTGGAATTGGAGGAAACATCATCAGTGCTTTGTTTGTTCCCTACTCTGCTGAGGTAATCTCACTAATGTGTACTTTGTTGACTGTACTATTTTCATAATTTTCATTTAAACAGGTTGGCCCAGCTGCATCAATGTTTGGAGTGATAGCGTTCTTCCTCATTTTCATCATTTATCATTGGAGCTTCTTTGACAGGGCCTGGCTTGAAATGCTTAAGTACTCCATCATTGTCATACTCCTGTTTCTAATCGGGTTTCTACCATACATTGATAACTACGCTCGAATTGGTGGCTTTCTGTTTGGAATGATGTTCAGCTTCATTCAGATTCATTACATCCCACAGCATGACTGTATGACTGAGTTTAACTCTTTGAGATTTCCTAATCAAAAGGCAAAGTCTTCATTACTTGGAAAGATAGCCCTGTTGATAACTGGGCTGGTTCTCCTCCTAACTCTGTATATATTTTCTTTTCTTTGGTTTTATTTGGAAGGCGACGTGTGGAATGGTTTCAGCTATCTTAATTGCATCATTCCTACCAGTTTATCAAACCTCTGCCAAGACTACAGACAAGACATCAGTGCCTGATTATGTTCTCCATACATTCCTCATGCTACAAAATAGTCAGAAATTTTTTTTACAGTAAAAAGTATCTTTTTGCTGCAATGATTTTTGATTGATGATTTAATATCTAATTTTTAATTGATAAATTATGATGCGTCATTTCATAGGCGTGGCTCCTTTACTAAAAATGTCTTCCAAGGTGAAGCTTCAGAGAAGTGTAAGAGAGCAGCAGGTAATAGTGACGGTTATACCCGATACCAGGGAAGGAAGAAAGTGTTTTAACGTCCTTCAAGAAGTGGCCAACGAGTTGGACTACATTGTAGAAAGGATCGCCTTTGAAAAGTTGGACTTTGGGGAGACAGATGCACTGGATAAATTCTATTCCTCGAACGTTGCTGTTGCTGACGTGACAGATCGTGCCTGCCAAGCCAAACTATTTTATCACTTGGGGCTGAGGGAGAGCTTTGAAATGAAGCAAAACATTGTCACTTATTTGGAGAGTGGAGCAAGTGGAGGGCTACGAGGCGGAGCATTTAATGTAAGGAATAAGTAGAGACTTGGACCTTATGAATAAATACATTATGTATGTTCATCAAAGACTATCACTTTGTATACTTTAATTATTAAAATGGTTGTGGTTAATTAGGAACACTAAAGTTTATTTTTACACACCTGCATGTGCACTGGTAGTAAATGCTGATTGTACAGTGTGAGTGGTGTCAATGTCATGATAAAGTCATGATGTTGCATACATGTACATCCCCTGTTTTATATTGTACCAAGTAATGCTGTGAATGATGTATTTATTGTTGTCTCAATAGCTATTCAAGATAATTTAATTATTGTCTACTCACAAGCAGGACTAATCATTATTATCTCTTGTATATGTAGCCCAAACTCACCTCCTACATATACCTGCCTTACTCTGTTGACAGCGATGGGAAGTGTTTGGTTTTAGATGGTAAAAACGGAGACGGTTTTAAACCCAAGGGCTCAAATATGTCTCTGGAAGTGAAGTTCAGAACACTTCTCCGAGACATGGAGACTCAATACAAGTAAGGGGCTGTGCTTGCAAGTAATGTGCATGCTATTCACCGAACCTTTATAAATTAAAGGTAATTTATTATTATTATTATTATTATTTGTTTTGTAGAAAGCAGCACAAGGAACAGTTTCTACGTCAACTAAGAAAAGCTCGGGAAAGCTTAAAAGGATCGGAGTTGAAGGAGGTAAGAATTTAGAAAATAGTTGAACTTGGAAGGACTATTTAATGATCAACAGAGATAATAGATATATACTTTCTAGTAGCATTGATAGAATGACTAATGATATCATGTGATCATTACAGGAATTGCTTCGCCTCCAGTCATGGATAGATGAAGACCCTCGCCTGTTTACAGCTGATATTCTTCTGTCACTGTTACTTTCATATCGGGACATTCAAGCGTATGAAAATATGGTTCTTCTTGCTGAAAAGCTTCCCAGCCACGAGCAGGTACTACTATAGTAAAAACCAACACAGCTATTACCAATACAAGTGTTATATCTAAGATATTTGCCTTGGGTTATGTATTGTATGCCTAAATAAAAGTTGATTTTTATATTTTTAATGCTCTTAATTTTAAGGCTTTGAAGGCTCCAGTCCAGGTACAATATGCTTTTGCACTAAATCGAAGAAATAAAGAGGGTGACAGGGATCACGCTCTGTCAGTTCTAGAAAAGGTTAGCATGTATGATAATCACAATGCTGTTATTATTATTATTGTTATTATTATTATTATTATTATTATTATTATTATTATTATTATTATTGTGTAGCTATTGGAAGTTAAGGAGAATCATGAACCAGACACTCTCTGTCTCTGTGGCAGAATATACAAGGACAAGTTTGTTGAATCCGGTCACACTGATACAGGGAGCAGAGATAAAGCCATCCTATGGTATACCCTTACTATGCCATACTTGCTATGCACTATTGACTGCAAGGGCTTGGAGTGTTTAGCAACTGTTAATGATAAGTATTGGAACAAACACAATAAGAATAAGCATTACTGATTTGGGAGTAGTGATGCATGTGTTTGTTCCATTGTAGGTATCGGAAAGGATTTGATATACAGCCCAATGAATATGCAGGGATTAATCTGGCAACCTTACTTGTAGTCTCTGGAGAGAAATTTGAAAACAGCGCCGAGTTAAGGAGCATTGGTAAAAAATAATGTTTGTTATAATAAGTATAATGTTAATTTCATTCCAATTTCCATAGCTATGACTTTGAATCTTTTAATCGGACGAAAGGGAAACCTTGATTCCCAGACTGACTACTGGACGGTAGCTACGTTCTTTGAAATAAGTGTCCTGGCTGAAGATTACCAGAAAGCCAGTCATGCGGCAGAGTGCATGTTTAAACTCCGTCCACCATACTGGTTAGTGGATAGTGGTTATAGTGATTAGGGTTGTTAATGCTACTACGATTTCTCTTCATCTATTACATGTACATGTGCATGTAGTGCGTATTATTATTGCATGTGCCTACTCTACTAGCATTAGAGTGTGTGTGCATGTATTTCTATTTTCTCAATTAAAAGTACACGTACACATATAGGTATCTGAAATCAACCATCAGTAATATACAGTTGATAAGTCAGTTCAGAGTTACTAGTGAGGATGCTCCCATGTCTCAGGAAGCAAAAGTGTTTGAGTTTTGGATGGAGTTCCTCATTGAAGCAACAAAGGATCAGTACTCAAATAGCCAGTTCCCTGTAAGTTATGGTTGAAATGGAGTCTGTCTTTATACAGTGTAGCCTTCTTTTTAAACAAGTACATGTATATGTATTTATTTATATATTTTTGCTAACAGATTCTTTTGTTTGAGCCTAATCCCCAGAATGTAAGTGAGTACCAGTATATTCCCAGTTACATTGCTCTTCACGAAGCAAGCAGCAGTTCTACAGCAGTGAGTCTCATGGATCATCATTGACTTTATTATTTAATTTTTTTAATTCTAGAAAATAGAGATTTGGTACCAAATGTCAGATGAAGATGATGTAGTATGTGATATACATGTTTTATTTTATGCATGCATCATTATTGGCCATAGTTTTTCCATAAGAGAGAGAGAGAGAGGGAGGGAGGGAGAGAAGCACATGTATATCTGTTAATGTGAAATGTTAATAGTTGCTTTGTGTGTGTTAGTAATAATAATTCCTGTTAGGTTGTCAGTGAATGGGCCTATGAAATAGCATGTGTCAGGAACGTCAGGTTAGAGATTTTATTATCATTACTTTATTAGTATCATTAATTACATGTATTTTGTAGTATCATAAAGAGAGACAATCGAGGACTATTTTTATACGTACTGGATAAGTACAGTGATGATTTTCAGATGTTTTTCTCATCAGAATTGCAATGTTCCAAGTCAGTATTCATGTTATGTTAAGAGAAAAAAATTCTGCCTCTATTTGTAGGGTTTTTCAGTTGATTCTGAGTCTAATGGATAGCACGAAACTCGAGAAAAGTGGTTCTTCGAAACTGACCCGGCGCATGACAATCGATGAAGAAGACACAGTTGAGTTTGAGTACGAGTTGAACGACCTTCACGAACCAGTGGTGCTGGGAAAAGGTTCCTTTGGAATAGTGTATTCCGCCATTGATCTGGTTACAAAGAAGAAGATGGCCATCAAGGAAATACCAGAAAGAACTGAAGGGTAATATGAGGACACTAATTGTCTCGTTTTTTTTAAATGGCCATAACTCAAATCTCAAAATTTTGAGCTCAGAATCAACTCTAACTCTATTGACAGCATAAAGACATCAATGTGTATCAAAAAATGTAATAAAAATTGGGGGTGATTTTGGGGCCATTTTTTGAAAAAAAACCATGGGCTATAGTACAGGGATTTTTTCAAAAATTTGATGATTTCTTAAAATGGCCATAACTTGAAAAATTGAAGTCAGAATCAGCTCAAACTTTCTACACAGCATAAGGACATCAATATGTATCAGAAAATGTAATAAAATTTGGGAGTGATTTCGGAGCCATTTTTGAAAAAAATCATGGGCTATAGTACAGGGATTTTTCTAGAACTCTGACGTTTTCTTAAAATGGCCATAACTTGAAAAATTGAAGTCGGAATCACCTCAAACTTTCTACACAGCATAAGAACATCAGTATGTATCAGAAAATGTAATAAAAATTGGGGGTGATTTCGGGGCCATTTTTTGAAAAAAACTATGGGCTATAGTTCAGGGATTTTTTCAAAATTTTGATGTTTTCTTCAAATGGCCATAACTTGAAAAATTGAAGTCAGAATCAGCTCAAACTTTCTACACAGCATAAGGACATCAATATGTATCAGAAAAGTTAATAAAAATTGGGGGTGATTTTGGAGCCATTTTTTGGAAAAAACCATGGGCTATAGTACATGAATTTTTTTAGAATTTTGATGTTTTCTTAAAATGGCCATAACTCGAAAAATTGAAGTCGGAATCAGCTCAAACTTTCTACACAGTATAAGGACATCAATATGTATCAGAAAATGTAATAAAAATTGGGGGTGATTTTGGAGCCAATTTTTGGAAAAAACCATGGGCTATAGTACAGGGAATATTTCAAAAATTGGCTCATCTTTAAATGGCCTTAACTAAAAATTTGAGCTTGGAATCATTTCTACCTAGCAAAAATTACTGTATAGATATTTTAGCCATTTTAGCAGCCTGTTTGTTGTACATGTAGTATAGTATCATTCTCATTTTATTATAGGCAGTTCCAGTCGCTTGAAGAAGAAATACAATTGCATCGCCACTTACAACACGAAAACATTGTGCAGTATTTTGGTGCTTATTCTGACGGCGGTATATTTAGAATATTCATGGAGCAAGTCCCAGGAGGTACACGCCTACAGTGATTAATTATAGATTAATATTAATAATAATAAATAATAATAATAATACCAGTAATAATATTAATAATAATGATTTTAGGTAGCCTCTCCCATTTGTTAAAGTTCACATGGGGCCCACTCATTAATGATGAAGGGACCATTAGACATTATACGAGGCAGATACTGAAAGGTCTTGGGTATCTTCATAATCAAAAGATTGTCCATCGGGACATTAAGGGAGACAACGTGCTTGTCAATATGTACAGTGGACAGATTAAAATATCCGATTTTGGTACTTCAAAGAGACTCGTGGGTCTACAAGTCCAGACCACTTCATTTAAAGGCAACTACTTTTGATTGTTTGTTAATAATTCATTATTTGTGTTTTCTAGGAACATTTCAATTCATGGCCCCTGAAGTGATAGCCAGTGGTCAAAGAGGCTATGGACCGCCTGTAAGCCCATCTGCATCTAAATCCACCATTTTGTGTATTTTCTCAAAACTGACGAACAATAATTATAATCAATATTGCTGTGTTTTTTTCTAGGCTGACGTATGGTCACTGGGCTGCACTGTAATTGAAATGGTGACGGGGAAGCCACCATTCTTTGAGGTATGTAAATATATTCTCATTATACATTGCTACTGAGTCCTATTAATAAATAGCTTGGCCCACCGGAAGCTGCCGTTTTTAAAGTCGGGACGTTCAAGGAGCATCCTGAAATCCCTGATGTGCTATCGAAAGAGCTGAAATCCTTCCTGTTGAGCTGTTTTGAGCCTGAGCCTTCGAAAAGGGCAATTGTGTCTGAGCTGTTGCAGAACTCTTTCATAACAAGGTAGTAGGGACATTTGGTGTAACGAAAATTATTTTAAAATATCGCAGGAAGAAGAAAAAAGTGAACGTATCTGATGCTCCCCCGGAATTTATGAGAAGCAAATCCAGTAATGCTCTTCCAAGCGCATTATTAGTTAAAGTATTGTGATTATCATTATAGTGTTCCCTGGGGCCCTCCCTAGTGCTGAACATGATAAAGAACTAACTATGTCCTCTAATTCTACTCCTGGAGCTAGGTGAGTGTGAACTACATGTATGCCATCAGATGGATATAGTAGAGGCAGCCTTGCATGTACATGTATATACAGTTTATTCACTTTTTTATTGTTTTGCAGTAAGTCGATTTTAGAGAGAAGTAAAAGCGCAAGTACCCAAAGAAAGTTTTCAAATTCTAACGAGATGGCTGAAGGGAGTAGCGAGGGTGAAACCCCAACCAGTAGCACTAATGACGGGGTTTTCTCAAGAAGTGGTACGTCCTTGAACTATTATGTATACAGCACTAATTGTGATTTCACTTTATGTCGATAGATTTTAGTCGTGTTTTATGGGACTCTGAGACAAAAGAGCTGCTGAATATTGTCCTCTCAAAAGACAGAGAAATGGTGAAATCCTTTTTTATTGCCCGGGTGAATTTATTTTCTTATGTAAAATAGATTTGCAAAAACGTTCAAAAGACTTTACAAGAAAAGATCCCCAGCTTGCATTTGACCATGGTACACAATACACATGACAAAGAAGGTGGAGGAGGTCTCTTTCTCTTTCTAGGAACACCTTGACATGGTCTTTAACAGCCTCCTAACTTATAGTGAGAGTAACTGCAGCAGTGACATGCAGAGGATACTAATGCCTTTATCCGAGTTGTGCTTGCATGATGCTGCCATCCACCACGAAGTTGAGCAGATGCTCCTAATACTTCCCAATGAGGCAATTATGATCACATAATGTCATACTTATAATATTAAAAAATCTAATTTGTAGGTGACATTGGCTATTAAACGTCATGGGACCCCGCCACATCGCATGTTTGCTATAGAAAATGTTGTGAAATTTGGCATGCATGTTGCACTGAAGGCCATCACTCCTGGTTAGTGGTATAGCACATTGCATGCCTCTTGTGGTGTTAGCATATGAAGAAACCAATCTCTTTTATAGATGTTAGCAATACGTTTTCTACTGAAGAGAATGATCATCCTCAAGTCCTTGATTTCTGTAGCGTGGGATCAGGAATGATCAGTGATCCAAGGTAGCATGGGCTGATTTAAGTGTAGACAGTAATGATGATATATAGAAATTAGCTTATAGTTAATTACAGTATGTACATTTTATGATGCATCAATCTACTTGGTACATATACATGTAGATTTGAGAAACTACAGAGAATGTTTCAATCAGCTTCAGAGGAAAATGTGGCGCTGTTGGAAGAGTTGGTGAAAATGAAGCAGACTATGAATGAAATGCTAAGACAATTTATTGGTAGCAGCAACGAAGGAAAGAGCATTGATGAAGGTATGCTGCATGCCATGAGTCGTATAGTATAGTCTGTGTAGTATAGTACAGGTTGTTTAGTACATGGAAGATAGAGCTTGTTTCATTATGGCTGTGTCCTTTTTTTAGACACTGATTCGAATTATGGGGAGCAAACTGATGAGCTGTCGATATTCCTTAGAAAGTTTCATTTAAATGAGAAAGAAATCCAAAAAGTATGAGGAACTTTCTTTTTTTTATACGTACAGTACCTTGATTCATATACCTGCAGTTTCACAAAGAAGGAATTGAATATCCTGATCTACTTGATCACATTTCATTAGATGATTTAAAAGAAATTGGAATCAGGTTAGTAGTAGTGAAGTTTCTTTTTCATTGTGGAATGACTAACGATTTACACGCTTAAATCCTACCACAGGATAGGGCCAAGATGCAAGTTGTGGACATTCTTATCTGAGAAGCGAAAATGCACAGTAGAAGACTAAAAATTTCACATACCCTTTTGTATAATAATTTGTTTAATATAGAAAACATTATTCAATCCCTTTCTCTTAGAAAGCTTTTATCACTTGAGTTTAAAAATCATTTTGTAAAAGTCGTCCTTCTTGCCTTAAAAATATTAATAAAGCAGCTAGGAATAATATTCACTGTCTGTATAATAGATATTGCTATAGATAAATCCACAATTATTCATTATTAAATATAAAAATACATAATAAAATAATAATAATAATAATAATAGTTATAATAATCAAATAATGTTTATTTCTGATTAATTATTCTAAGCGGATGCCCCTCTGTATTGAAAACCCACTCATCTAGTGACACAACTTTATCATCAGAAAACAAGAGGTATAAATATTTCAATGTTTCCGATAGGAAGAAGGTTTGCTGTTCATCATCTCGCGAGTCTGGACTATTAACATTCCTCAGACCAGTATAACCACCTGTTGATACTTTACAATACTTTTCTAGAGCCTAAAATATTATTATAATAATATTCCTATTTCCATTCCCATACTCTCACGCTTCCATACCTGGACCAGTTCCCATCCCCATTCTCTATACATTGGATCACGTGTCAGTCTCCAAAGGTAGAAGTATGATTCCACAGTCTCTGGTCTCAGTATGTACTTTGGGTTTACGTTATTCACCTTTCCTGATGAGCCAATGCCGAATATGTCAGGGCCAAGCTTTGTCACTGCAGGAAGAAATGATTCAACCATTAGCAACTCATGCTAGCTTGAGTCACTTCAAAAACATTTTAATTGGCAATCAAACTACTCACCAGAACTGACGTAAGACTCGTGACATGTTCTTGTAATGTTCTTGGCAATGTCCATGTAATGCTGTGACTTGCCGTTAGTTGCATGAACTGAAGCTAGTGCAAACATACCACCTGCAAAACAAGCCTGGTAAAGAAGCAGAGAGAGAAAGAGGGATAAAAAATAATGAAAATTAATTTAAAATTTATCTCACCAGGTGCTGCATTTTCCCATCTCTCTGTCCATTCCTAAGATCAGATATTACAAAAAGTTTCTTTTCAGAAACAAACTCAAACATCCTGGTATCCAAAGCCTACGGTAGCATAACATATACAACAATTATATGCTCTCTCCCTCCCTCCCTCCCTCCCTCCCTCCCTCCCTCCCTCTCTCTCTCTCTCTCTCTCTCTCTCTCTCTCTCTCTCTCTCTCTCTCTCTCTCTACATACATCAATGGCTTCATAGAACATATCTTTTGATTCAGTGTCTTCTTTATTAGTGAGGAGCCAAACTTTCAGTAAGTATTCATAAAAACTATCACTATAAGCACCTAATGACACGTGCCCTACAAAAAAATAACAAATTCAACCACTGATATGTGTATGAGTTTGGCCCGATTTTTGAGTAAATTTAAAACTTCATAAAAATTCAATTTTGATCAGAATTAGCTCAAAATTTCTACACAGCATAAATACATGTACATGTATCAGAAAAAAATTGTTAAATGAAGATTTCTCTCCTTTTCATTTTTGGCAAAATTTTGCCAATGAGCACTACAACATGTAAGTAGATGTGCTGTGCATTAGAAAATGTAATAAAAACACAATTGGATGTTAACTTAGTATCCTATATTTTATATGTAGTAGTAATTATAGTAATAATGTAACATTCACATTAATTATAGTCACTTACTATTACACCAATGTCCAGATTGAATACTAAACATGGTGTAGTAGAACCCTTCAGAGCTACGGACTGCTCTTAGTTTATTACGGATTCGTAAAACCTTACATATAAAAATAAACAAAATGTAAATAAATAAATAAAATCACAGGATATACTTTCTCTAAGTAAGATTTGTCGTTTGAGAGATACGAGAGACTTTGATATTCTAAATGCAAAGTGCCTAATTCTGATAGTAGAGAACACTGTCCTGGAATCCAGCCCCAAAACTCAGTCTCGCCACTAAAATACACAACACACATATCATTATAATAATCCCCAAAACTATATAATGTACGTTTTCATTTTAACAATTGGTTTTGGCAGGCCACTCTGTGTATTAAAAGCAGGATTGAATCTTTTAGCAACCTCGATGGCTTTATCTTTAAAAACCTAACAAAAACATACTCAAATGAACAAATAATAATAATAATAATAATAATAATAATAATAATAATAATAATACAAATTATAATTTAATTATGTATGTACATGTATAGTTGTGCTTATTCTAATTAAAGCACAAACCTCTTCTCCAGTGAGTTGATAGGCACTGATGAACCCTCCGATGAAACGAATGTTAACTTCAAAAAAAGATAAACCGCTGCTCACCTAAAAATGAAAAAACTTCAAGAATTTTACTACACAAAAAAGAACCTGTGAAATATCAAAGTGATCCTTGACCCATTTCTTTGCTCTGTTGTACTCGTCCATCAGACCAGCGACATACAACGTGTCCAGACTATCGACCAGTGTTGCACCGATCGGAGACGAGCTGAACATTGAGCGAGAATTATGGGTCCTTGATATCGGCTTGAGCTCATTTTGTCCCATCGCATACTTCTCATAGCCGTCCCATGCATGCTTGATCATCTAAGGAACAAAGAAAAAAATGACAATAAAATAAAAAACAATAACTCGGACTCCTTCAAATACTATTATTAAGATTAAAACGGGTCAACTAAAATATATGCCACCGGAAAACACACCCTCTCGTCGATCTTAGCTAGAGCGCCTGCCCATAGGGTTCCATAGGGTTAAGGGGTTGGGGTTTAGTGTTTATTTTTTACTTCCGGTGGCAGATATCCTAGTTGATCCATTAAAACTGACTATTATACCAGCTGTATAATAATTATACTCACGTTTTTAACTTGTTGCTGTCTTTCAATGGTTAGTTTGTCCTCGGTCTCCCTTGTTTCAAGGGACCGAGTGCTTATCTCTAAAGTAGGTCCTTCTGTTCCATTGGCTACTCTCCTATACTCTTCAGCAGTAGTACTGGCAGTATTAGGAACAACAGAGCTGGCTGGTAAACTTCTAGAATCAAATCTTAAAATAATAATAATAATAATAATATGTTATAATAATAGTAATAATAGTAATCAGTTTTGGCAACAAAAGTGAAAGTGCATTCTCACTCTGTATCATCACTGGCCTGGAGAGTCACTATGTAATAAACAGCAGCCAGTAGGAAGAAAAGAAAAAGAGAGAGCAAAAAAGCACGCTTTTTCTTCATGAAGAATCAAGAAACTCAGAAGTTGCAGACACGTGACAACTTTAATCACGAGTCACCACGCCTAGCTCAGCCTTTTATTTAAAAAAAAATAAATTTGAATATTAAATTTAAAAATGGCGTTTATTATTGCAAATAATAATAATAGTAATAGTAATAATAATAATAACAATAATAATAATATTATAGTAAAATCATAGTTCGATTTAATGTTGCCTGATCGACTGGGAACTCAGAGAGATAAGGGAATGGATGTGCCTCTGTATTGAAGACCCATTTATCTAATGGCAGCACACTATCGTCAGAAAACAGCAAGTATAAATATTTGAGTGTCTCTGCTATAAAGAACGACTGCTGAACATCGTCTTTCGGAATCGCTTCGTTGTAGACATCCTTGATACCAGCATAGCCACCTGTAGGTATTCTGCAGTGCTTTTCTAACGACTTTAAAGTAAGAAGAGAAAAAAAGGACATAATAATAATAATTATTATTATACTTAGGCACTTAGAGATTCCATTCCAATACTCTCACACACTCTATGCTCTTAAATCAGTTCCATTCCCATACTCTCATGCTTCCATACCTGGACTAGTTCCCATCCCCAATCTCTATACATTGGATCATGAGTCAGTCTCCAAAGGTAGAAGTATGATTCCACAGTCTCTGGTCTCAGTAGATACATCTTTTCATTCTTTCTACTAGTAATCCTGCCGCTGGAGTCCATTCGAAATGCTTCAGGGCCAAAATGACTCACTGAAAGTAGAAAAGTACATTTAAAAAGTATAATATAATCAACCCTATTTTTCTGATTATTTAAAACATGTACACGTACATGTACATGTATGTTACTGGTCAAACCTGTTTTAATGTAAGACTCGTGACATGTTCTTGTAATGTTCTTGGCAATGTCCATGTAATGCTGTGACTTGCCATTAGTTGCATGCACTGAAGCTAATGCAAACATACCACCTGCAAAACAAGCCTGCAAGTGTTTATGGAGAAAGGGAGCAAGAAGAGAGAGAGAGAGAGAAATAAAGGAAATAGGTAAATTAAGGGGAATTAAGCCACATGTGTAACAACAAAACAAAAGGATGGATGACATTCATAATTATTGAGAAACTATAAACAGGACCTTACTGAATCATAACAAACACACATAGTATATCAAAAGTGTTAATATAATACAGCAATGCTATATGATATTAAGATATGTGTAAATCAGTAATATGTACACATGTGCAACCACTTGCCCACTTTACTTACCAGGTGTTGCATTTTGCCATCCATTCTGCCATTTCTCAGATCAGATATCAACAAATATTTTCTATTCTGTACATATTTAAACATCCTAGACTCAACATTCTGAGAAGAGAGAGAGAGAGAGAGAGAGAGAGAGAGAGAGGAAGAGAGAGAGGGAAGGAAGTTAAAATGAAATTTAATCCACCACAAGGTAAACAAACATACATCAATAACTTCGTAGAACATATCCCTGGCCTCTTCATCTTTCTTGTTAGTAATTAGCCACGCTTTGAGCAGATACTCATAAAAGCTGTCACCCAATGCACCCATAGACACAAGCTCTGAGGAAAAGAGATATATGTACGAGCATTACGTCAATCCTTATAGTGAGACATAGGACATACTTGAGCCCCACCTCCCAGTATTAGGGTTGATGAAGTTTGGATAGAGTCCCAGGGGTTTGTCGGCTTTTCTGAGTATCTTTCGAATGTGTAGTACCTAAAGGAAGGAGAATAAACAAGAAAGAAAGTGAATTAAGATTTAAAACAAGGAATAAAGAAATAAAAGGCTTACTTTATCTAGGTAAGTTGACTTTTTGCTTAGTACAGTCAAGTATTGATATTCCAACTGAAGCGTCCCAATCTCGGCCAAAACTGAACACTTTCCAGATGCCCAGCCCCAGTTCTTTAATTCTCCGCTATATTATAATCACACGAAAATGTGACATACACATGTACATGTACATGTCTTACGTTTTGATGTTCACAAGACTTTTGGGAATGCCCGTCTGAGTGTTAAAGGCAGGCATTAGCTTTTCGGCCATTTCAAGAGCTTTCTCTTTAAATAACTACATGTACATACAAGAGGAAATCAACAAATAAAACTCGACATCAAAAGGAGTAGAACACATTCAAGTGTACATGTACATTTACATGGCTACACACATGCTTGAACATGTATAGCACATAATTTTCCTAATTACTGTTAGAGCAGTGTTACTAATCAATTAGAAGCACTTAGTATGGATGTACATGTATTTTATACTATTAAGGCTGAACAAGTTGGACAGTCCCACTTTAATTAAAATGTTTCCTACTCCACGGATCAATAACAGGGCAATACCTCATCTTTACTCAGTGAGTAGGCACTGAGTAATCCTCCAATAAAACGAATGTTGAACTCAAAAAATGAGACAAAAGACTTGACCTAAAAAGGAAGAGGAAGATGAAAAGGAAAGAATAATTAGAAAGCAGGTACATGTACATGTACTGTACATTGTATATGGGTAGTAAGAAACCACAACTATTCACCAGAAACAGATGCATACATAGCCATACATACATGTATAAATAGTTAAATACATGCATGTAACCTACTGTACATGTATTATGCATGTACTGTATATGCTTAATTGAAAGTATTGATAATACAGTACAATAACGTTATTGTAAATAAGCTATAAATCCTCATATTCAATTGACTAACAGTGATCTTACCAGTCCCACATACACAACTTGACCCAACAAAAATTCTTGTACAGGTAGTAAACATCACTCTCTCTCTCTCTCTCTCTACTCTACCTCGGATACTCGAAGATGGTCTCTGACCCAATTCCTTGCGTCATTGAACTCATTATGAAGTCCGGCGATATACAGCGTGTCAAGACCATCGACTAGCGTGGCTCCGAGTTTCGTTTTACCAAATACAACAGCCGAATGGCCCTTTTTAGAAACAGGCTTGACCTCGTTCTCTCCCATTGCGTATTTAGCGTAGCCAGTCCAGGCGTGCTTGATCATCTAATGGAAGGAGGGAGAGGAAAGAGTGTTTGTGTATGCGAGCGGATGATGTTGAAATAAAGTGGGGAAAGAAAGAGAGAGGAAGGGAGTGAGACAGGTATCAAACTAGGTACTGGTATATGATTACAGCTCTTGAAACATGATCAAAGGCACCGACTAATAAGCAAATAATCAGCATAACTATTAGTTATAGCATGATTATCATTGGGCATTTAGCCAGGCTCTTCAGAAGGCTTCTAAACACAAAACAACTTCAAATAAAATGGAAATAGCCAAGTGACAAGTGTATGCATTTCCCAAAAAATTATTAATTATGCAAGGGTGATATCCAAAAGATAGAATTACACTCTGCATGTATTAATTGTTTTTGCTACTCATAAATTATTATCTACAAATTTTTCAAATACAGTAATAATAATTAGGAAAATTAAAAAAAAATTACACAAATAAAAATTTGCATTATAAGTGCTACATGCGGCAGTAAAGGTGTTTATAATTAGGGTATATAATTAGGGTATTAATTAACACTGTGGGAGTATGGAGCTCTCTGATGGCAACATGCTCATAAAGAACAACACTGGCCATGCCATGAATTCCTATCTAAGAGTATTGCATTAATTTATCGCCATTGTTATAATGCATTACCCTACCTCTTTAACTTTTAATCTTCTTCTTTCATTTTCATTCCTTCCAATGCTGGATAAATCAATATTTTCAATAGCTTCCAATTCATCTTTGCTTGTTGGTTTCTCATCTTGTCTATCCTCAGTCGTGGAGACCACAGTTTCTTTAGTAGATTTTGTCTCATCTTCCTCCTCTTTATGATGAGTAGTGGAAGGCGATTGTTGAGTCGACGGAGCAACAGTTGTAGGTTTATTACTGCTAGTAGCACTGGCACCAAGCTCTTGGGTTGCTTCCAGACCATCAGAGCTGCTCAGGGGGAGTCTGTGGTGATGAAAACTACTGTAGGCATTTCGAAAGCTATCCCTGTCAACAGAGTGAACATCGGGCATGTAGAAGAGAAGAGAAGCCCAAGCTAGTATAAACATTACGAAAAGGGAGAGGAGAAGACAGGTCTCTCTGGTTCTTAAAGGAGTCCGAGAGCGGTTCCCGGGGAGAGAGCCTGTCCTTCCAGGCCCCTCCTGGTGGAGAGGCAAGTAAGGAGAGGACATGACTAAGAGAGGGGGAGAGAGAGAGAGAGAAGGAATGAGGAATGTGAGCCTCGGGTATCTATTCTGTGGTGTCTGGCTCCAGCGAATATCTTTCGGACACGCCCTCATTGACCAACATCATAATGTCACGTGAGCTTTTTTGAAACACGCCTATTTTTGTCATGCACGATCACGTGATAGTCATGTGACATATTTCAAAAATATGGCGGGCGAAGAGGATGATGATGTAGAGTTGAGGGATTTGGTTGCTCAGACTTTAGAGTCTCAAGGTGTACTGGGAAGCATTAGAGTGAGGCTCCTAATTAAAACCCACCTTTTAATATTACAGTATATTGATAATCTGTTTTATTTGTGTAAAGATTAAGAGCAGCCATTTATTGTTATTGAATTCCGAGTTGGTCATAATTTATTGGTTGTTATGGTAAAAAAGCGTATTAAAGTATAAGGCTCACTTTATATAATATGTTGTGGGTGTGGTCTCAGAGGTGATTATAAGTGTTGATTTATACTGTTCATAAATGTATTTTGACTTTATCTCTAGGCTCAGTTAAGAGCAAGTGTAGTACTGGCCTTAGAAGAACAGGAATCAAAGACGGTACGACTTAGATTATTTATTACTATTTTGTATTCTATTTTTGTAGAAACCTCATTCACTTGTTAACAAAAGATTGACAAGTTTTCTAAAAACGAAAGATGGTGAGTACTTTATGTGTACGTGTAGCTTACCCTCTCTCTCTCTCACTAATTAGGTCAGATCACTGTTGGTTTAGTTAGAGAATTCTTAGAGTTTTTTGAACTGGATTTCACATGTTCTGTCTTTGATCCAGAGACTAACGTGGTAAGTACATGTGTGAATCACGTCAAAGAGTAGATAATACTGTACATATTCATATTTTACCTTCTCTCTGTCTTCTCCTATTTCTTTTCATCTCTTATATACATATAGCTCAAAAGCTATAAAGGTAGGAATCAGTTAGCAGCTGATATTGGATTAAAAGATAACACAGATACTCCATTACTCCATGACGTGCTACAGCAGCTAAGAAACGCTAGCCCTACTCCTGCCACTCCTCCTCATCTCACGCCCTCTTCCATTCCCTCGGCAACTCCTGTTACCATGGCTACTCCCGTTACTATAGCAACTCCCATTACCATGGCAACCATATCCTCAATCCCTCCGCCAGCAGTTACGCCCATCAGTTCGATCCCATCTCTTAAGCAACCCGAGGTATCAGCAGTAAAACCTCTTTCCTCAAATAAAGGGAACTTGTTTGCTGATAGTAAGTTTCTAGTGTCTGAAGGGACTGGTTTGACTGGCGGTGGCTCTGATGTTCTTGCTCGTCTTCTTGATAGCAACTCTAAGGATCCTCCAGGGACTAATGTAGCAAAAGGTGTTGAAAGTGGAGAAGACTCCGAAGAAGAGGATAATACTAATTTGAAGGTTTGTTGATTACTTGAGTGGAGAGGTTGGCTTTTCCCACAGGGACAGAATATCCCATAGTGGTGGGTTTTTATAATTACATAAATTTTTACATAAAATATTTTTTTACATATTGGTATTTCTTATAGTATGAAACTACTGATCACTCACTCTCACAAGCAAGTGCTGGAGATTTTGATTACTCTGAGCAAATTCAGTAGCTCTATTTTAACTCTCCTCTTTCCTTTACCCCCCCCCCCCCTCTCTCTCTCTCTCTCTCTCTCCTCATGCATTATACACAGTTTCAGTTTGGTAGTTTTAATTTTACAAAAATTAATTTTTAAATCAATAAAATTTTAATGAGCCACGCCTACATTCTGTTGCTAGGCAACGTTACATCTATTCTCTAAATTGGCAAGATGGCGTTTAATTTTTCTGATTTGCTCAAGTCTGTTGCTTTTCCAGGTTTGTTTCAGCTTGTCAGCCTCTCTACTAATTGTACTTTTAGGGGACATCGATCCTACTTATCTTCTCGCAGTATCTGGGTCAGAATACAGAAAAGTACATCAATAAAAAAATTGGAAAATCATAACTCTCGTCTCCCTTAGGACGTTATCAGAGGAAAAAAGAAGAAAGGATACAAGGACGAGATTAAAATAGCAGCCTCGCTAGAGATACAGCGAGTCTGGAGAGGAAATCGGACTAGACTAAAAATCAGAGAACTATTTGCTAGAACTGGCAATAAAGTATGAGAATAACTTTAACTGCAACAAGCTGCTAATTGCTTGCCTGCATGCAGCGTATGTATGTACATGTATGTTGGGCTTTACTTAGTATGAATAAAAATCTATCCCTATGCAGTCTAAGTTGCAATCAACACGTGTTGCAGGAGCATGTTCGATTCAAAGAGCCTGGAGGCAATATAAAGTTAGTACATTGTAGCCATGCAACCTTGCAATATCATCCCTGTATCTCTTTTCAAATACAGAACAAAAAACTTTTCCAGTCATTTCAGAATCTTATTAATTTTCACAGAAGAGGCGATCCTTCGTACCTACTTCGCTGCATTAATCCTCAAGAGGTAGAGAACCCCCATAGCTTTTAAACTGACATTGCTTTCCTTACTATAAGGCTAAACTCCTTGATAAAGCATCTGGCTGCTATGTGAGATTCCGGTTAGGAGGAGTAAGGACCGAAAAACACTCACTCATTAATTTTATTCCTATTTTTGTTACAGGAGACCTTTCCTCCAATGGTGTACTACAAGATATACACTAATAGAACTGTTGTTGACTTGTGTGCTTCCTCTCCAAGGGACTACACAGCAATGTGTGAGAGAAAGTCACTAGCAAAAGAGCTCCATAACAACACTGCCCTCTCCGTCCCCCACGATACGAGTGGCTGGTATAGAAGAGAAGAGAATAATGGCTGGAGGCCAGTTGTGGTAATTGAGTACACTCACACAGACTTTGTATTTTTTTATTGTAGCTCAATGAGCCTTCGCTTATGCCTAAGCCTGTTCAACCGTTCAGACATTTAAAGGTATATTTTTCATTTCTATATACTGTAACTATAATTCATTCCGTTTGTAGCTAATGAGGCGAGAGGATCTCGAAAAGAAGCGCAAGCAAAAAAGAATAGAATGGCTAACGAAATTGTTAGTTTTAAATATCTAATAATTATAGATAATGCACCCAAAAAGACAATGAAAGTATGATTTATGTAATATACATTTAAAAGATATACTGCAAATGTAAATGGAGAAGAGATGGAGCAAGAGGATGGTAGCGAAGTAGACGGACTAATTCAATGGAGCAATGAACTTGATTATGATAAGTCAGTAAAATCTCTTTTTCTCATTTTTATATTAATTTTCTCTTCATAAGATACATCAGTGATTGGCATTCATTTGGTACAAGTGCAACCACTGATCCTTATACAGTACAGCTCATTAAAGCATAGATACTACTGGTTGTTGCATTCCTTACTTTTCTTCTGTATAATAATGACTGGCTTGGGATCTTCAGAAGTTATTTTATAATAATTATTATTGTCATCATTCTTTCTTAAAAATTAACAATAATTATATAATTATCTTTATGTCACATGGTTACAGGATGAATGAAAAGGAGGTGGTGATTCAATATCTCCTTTACTCCTCACCAGTTGTAGTTCTATATGCTCAGCCGATGGTACTTTACCTTCCGATAGCCCTGGAAATAAATCGAATAATAATAATTTTAAAGGTTCCTGTCTGCCATACTTAGTGCATTTTCTTGTGTCCTTTTCAGAACTGCTTGCATTGTCATTAAAGCCTTCTCACATGACACCTATACATTATTATTATTGCAACAATTTTTAATGGTCTTTGGTCAAAAATAATGACCCATAATTTCAATTTTTTTACAATTAATTTTTATAATAATAATTATGCTCATTGTGATACTGAAAACAAAAAAATATTTGAGTTATGAATTTGTTTTGACCAAAAGAGAAACAAGAATTTCCATGTGTATACATTATTACAAGAGCAGAATATTGACTTTAGGATTACTTTAAGTCCATGCTCATTCCATCCTAAGAGCAGAGCTGTGAAAAGGTCTCCTGTACCTGTGAACTGTGCTCTGATTTTAGGATACGACAATCTAACCTTTTCTCCTAAAAGAAATTAAGACATCATGATAATAAACATTATGTCTCTTAATTTTCACACATGTCTCTTAATTTTCTTTCCTCCCATTTTAATTCTCTTTTTTACCTTCTCTATTACCGGCTATGAGTATTAGGTTATTGTCATCAGTATTTAATTCAATACTTGTTATGACTACCGTCTTAGCTCCTTCCTTTAGCAGTGCTTCTATTGCCTATAGGAATAGGTAATGATACTTTTTTTACCATCTCACTTTGTCATACCATTTGTGCATCATTCTCAGTCTTTATACTAATGCCAGTTAATAATCTAAATCAATAATAATTATTAGAGATTACACACAATGTTTCTATCATTAAAGCACTGACTCAGCTTCGTAGCAGTTTGGAGTCAAAAGGTCGGCAATTTGGACTAGTCTCTCACGATACACTGGTAGCAAATCATTAGGAACATACTACAACAGTTATCATCATCGTCAAATTCATTTTATATTTGTATGCATTTGTTACCATCTGTCCATTGTCTCCCATAACAGGATCACAAACTAATAAAATAAAATAAAACAGAAGTTATGCCACTGTTATTTTAGCCTTTGAAACTTAGTGTATGTGTAAAATAAACTCGACTGATACGAGTACTCATTTTAAAGTGCATGTATACACAATGTATATTGTTTATGGTAAGCTATTATACACTATGCTAAAAGTAAAAGCTACAATAATTATATCTTAATAGCATACTTGTTGATAAAGATGTGTAAAGATGTATAGTGTGATTGTTTATCTTCTCTTCCTTTAGGAGGAAGATTAAAGGAAGAGAGAGGCGAGACAAGATTATGTGTACATGTATAGATTGACAGTGACACTGTGACAGCCAAGTGAAGAGAGCATACCAGTATGGCAGGTGCCACCAACAATGAGTATACCCATATATATATATATATATATATATATATATATATACACACTATAATTAACTAAACCTGACCCTACTTCCTCTCACTCCCTCTCTCCACGCCTCACTATTATTATTATTATTATCTAACGTACCAGTTTAGCATGATTTAATTATTAGCATGATTTAATCAATTAATTGATAACTAATTTATCATTCTTAACGATATTAGAGGTGATTTGATTTACCGTATATAAGATTTGGATTCTTGCCTTTCATCTCTCTCACAAAATCATACACTTTGCTAAGGAAAGAGTAAGATCCAATATAACCTAATACAAAGTAAATAAAAACAACACAACATTACCATAAGGTAAAGATATTGTTTAGCCTCAATGATTGCGTTATTATAATGTAATCCGTCAATAGTCAAATCAAAAATTTCAAATTGAAAATTAAACTGACCTGTCAGGATATGAGTATAATTAGAGAGAAGCGAGTTTGAGCGTAGCCCAGACAGCAAGACGTCCAGTTCTGCTGCCTCTAATACCTGTCCTTTAAACGTAGGGTACCCTATGCAGTTAACATTAATAAAAATTAATAATTATTATTGTGTACAGCAAGATTCAATATTCATAAACTTAACATGGAAAAATAGTATAATAATTATCATAATAATGTTACAAGTGATCAAGATGGTAGATTATTTACGTGGGCGTACAACCTCACCTACCCGTGTGATTGGAGAGCTGCACGCTATTTATGAGGTCTACCTCGTAGCCTAGTAGCTAGCAAAATGTGTAAAAGATGAGACATTGTGAGAATCTAAGACCTACTTGTAAAGGAAAGGCTGCCGCAGTGTTTCCTACTCGCCCGTGGACGACGTGGCTTTGAATGGAGAGGACATGCCTCTGCCTCGAGTCGGCGGCCATGATTTGTGTGGTGCATGCATTCATGCGTGGGTGTAGTGTGTACGCCTTTTACAATTCTCAATTTCTCATTACACATAGAGAGACCGCAGACTGGGCCAAAGAGATAGACAGATTGCTCAGTTGTCTCACTTCCAGGCGCATTAGAGAATTAGAGATAAGGTTCAAATTATATTCTCGCTAGGGGAAGCCTCCCTTTCAAAATGCTGGGTATTCGTCTCCACTCGGCAGGACTTCTCCTCCTCGCCCTCACCTGTTTCTCCGATGGGGCCGGCGTAGAATCTATAGACGTATATAAGCCCATTGCTAAGATATCCCCTGCTAGAAGTACCGGGATGACAGAGGATTCGTTTGGTTATTCTGTCGCTGTGCACCGGCTGTTTGAAAGCCCTGGTAATATGACTTTAGAAGAAATACTTGACCAAACCCTGTAAGTGGCCTTTCTGTTGTATTATTTGCTCTTTCCCCTCTATTTTGATGTATTTTTCAAATTAATTGAATTTTAGCTTTATTAAAATAATACTTGTTAAATTGTTAAGCTAGGCTTGTTGATTCTACAGTAATGTATATTTAATGAAGAAAATCATAGCTTGTATAATTTTAACTTCAGTTGCTTCTCCAAAAGTATTTATTGAGTTATTGCCTGAGGCTTGTGTTTATGAATACAGCAAGAAATGGCTGTGGGTTGTATATATATACATGTACACTTATATGCAATGTGTTTACATCTATGTAGGCTAGGTGACACTAGTAACATGGTGTCTGTAATGTTAGACTAGAATTCTAGGAATGAATAAGCAGCGAGTGACACCTTTTGATCACTTAAATAATTATCAATTGTGTGTTTGCCTGTCTGTTCCTCTTACCTCTAAGCGAAGGCTTTTTTTATAAAAATTAACACACATAAACGATTGTTTAATGTTTTTAGTTGTACACTGACACTTTTGGAAAACAAATCATTAATCCTAGGCTATTTTAATAATACATGTACATGATACTAGTGCAATCAGTATATTGTAAGGGTAGCCTCTGTGATATGAGAGCTAAAGAGAGCAATGTAGTGATAAGAAAGAAAAAGGGAGGAAATGGTACAAGAGTAGGCCGTATGAAAGGATATTAATATGATGTAATGATTATACGATTGCTTGTAATGAAGAACCATAAACAAAGCTTATGCAATAACCATATATGTATACATGTGTATGTACATCCAGCTTTGTAATTTGTTCCATTAATGCACATACTGTTTGTGTGTTTTATTATTTCTGTTTTTATAGATTAAAATCTGATTTTGTGTATGCATGCATCTTATATATAGGCACTCCTTTACTCACAATTTGTACTATATAAACAGTTATAATGGGAACACACATACACACTTACATCTGCATATAGTATACCTCATTGTGACGTACTGTATAGTATGTATGTGTATGTATGATTGTAGTGTGTTTATATACAACAATCTGTACCTTTATCCTGTTATATGCTCACATGACACTTAATGATACACAGACACACACACACACACACTCTATAATATCCCTCCCTCTCTTTCATCTTTATAATGCTAATAGTATAATAGATTAATACGGTTGATATCCCTCTCTTTCTTTATAATGTAGCATGATAGTTAATATCTATCTCTCTTTTATAGTATTTATTTTATATAGTTGATATTTCTCCCTCTTTTTCTTTATAGTATAATGGTCGGTGCTCCTCGTGGTGCTTACCCTGGTGGGCTAAGCACCGCTGACGTCCCTCCGTCTAACTTATCATGTCATGTCTTTGGTATTACTTCTAATGATGATGCTCAATCACTTGCATGTCTTAGTCATAATAATCCAGATGGTATGAACAATAAGACAGGACTTGTGTATCAGTGTTCCCTCTCCTCTGAGAATTGTACCGCTTCTCTTGGTGACGGGGACGCAAGGGAACCTGATGGACTCCTCTTTGACAGAATTGGTTAGTACTCTTGTTATTATTATTATTATTTATTATTGTTGTTGTTGTTGTTATTAGGAAATGTTGACATACATGTCCCTGGCCTAAGTGATGATTTTAAAGACATTTTTTTCGCACAAAACAAGAATGGGCAGCAGATGGGAGCAACAGTTTACAGTGAAGAAGGATTTTTTGTCGTATGTTGACATACACGTACATTGTATATGGAAGAAGGAATTAGCTATAGTTTAGGCTGTATATAGCCAGAAACTCTTGTGGGAGTAAACTTTTTGCAAATAACCACTTTTAATTCTAGTAGGATTCAGACCTACATGTATAACCTTAACTCTATCTCCTTTTCTATTATTAGTATTATTATTGTTGTTGTTGTTGTTGTTGTTGTTGTTGTTGTTGTTGTTATTGTTGTTGTTGTTGTTATTATTAGGCCTGTGCTCCATTGTGGGAGTTTACTGATCTTCCTACCACCGCTAATTCTCAGCCAAGAGGCCAGTGTGTATATTCTGGTCGTAATTTAACTAATTTCCTAAGGATGAACCCTTGCTGTAAGCCATTATGAATATTTACGTAATTTTATTTTTGTTCATGCATGGATATTATGTATACAGTTAGAAGTGGTAGTGGTAATAATCAGAATGGAGAAGGTTTCTGTGAAGCAGGATTCTCTGTTGGTGTCACCACTAGTCTGAACTCAGCCCCAGTAAGACTCCATTTTCAATTATGTATAATTATTGTATAGTGGGAAAACTTAATATTAGGCCAAATCACCAATACAATTGAAGCCTAGCTGGTTTAAATTCGACAGAACTGTCAAAAGTGTGTGGGCGATTTGACCTTTTGACACAAAACGCTTCGAAGTTGACGCAAATATTGGTTAAATTCCATTTTTGTGTTCATTTGCGTTGCGTCAGGCTTAATTGTATTGGTTATTTTTATACTGGCCATTTATATTGGGGGATTTTGAAGCTGTGTCGTTGAGTATGCTCAGAATAAAGCAATTTTATTTTCCAATTTTATCTACCAATTACCAAATTTCCTATAATTGCAATTATAATGTGCACGTGTCTGTACAGTGTATCTGCATTAAATTAAGTTTTGTGTGGGTATAAATTTGCAAAATGAATCTGTCATTAAAATACCACTTGCAGAAACCTTTGATCATCATAGTAACATTTTTTAGGAATTTGAGACAGGTCCAATTCTGATGGCTAGTGCTCCTGGTAGGGATACCAGTACAGGCGGTGTCTACTATTATAATCCACTGGGTACAGTCACTGAAACTACTACTATAACTGCTAAAAATAAACCTACCAGAGAACTTCACCTATACACGAATAACACAGCTATACCACTAGATAACAGTCTTCTGGGGCAGTTGCCACGTGTTAATGCTTCTAACGGCCAAGTATCAGGCACTAATAATCTTCCTATTAATGTCCCTGACGATGATTTTTCTTATTTCGGTATATATTTTTTTCTAATCTATCCTGCTTTCACTCCTTTTTTTCCTTCTCTCCATTTTATATGTCACATCATCATGATTTTTTATACATGTATATACACAAATAGGTTTTGCCTTATCTAGTGGTTACTTGACCAGTCAGTCTGTCAAAGGTACAATATTATTTTGTAATGTGTATTAGTATATGTATAACCCTTCTCCCTCCCCTCTCTTAATAACTTACTCCATTAGATGTAGTTGCATCAGCTCCTAAGTATAACAAGACGACACAAGTTGGGAGGGTAAGCTATATAATCACTGTTACATGTAACACACTTAACTGTTGCATGCCTCATGAAGCCACCAGCAATATACCTGATTGTTTCTTTTTAGGTTTACATTGTTACTAGTGCTACTGAAATACCTACATTATTTCTTGATGGAGAACAGGTGATTTATTTATTTATTAGTTTCACTATTTTTATAAATAATTGTCACAGTTCGGTGAGCAGTTTGGATATTCAGTTGCAGTAACTGATCTTAATGGAGATGGGTATGTGTGGGGCCAGTGTGTGTGTGTGTGTGTGTGTGTGTGTGTGTGTGTGTTTGTACTTCTTGTACCCTGTAATCAATTATGTACATGTACATGTGCATGACAGCTGCATGTAGTTTAGACATTAAATTCCCTTTTATTTTTTAGTTGGGATGATATTCTTGTCGGTGCTCCGATTTACATTGATCCCAATAGACAGCACATTGAGTCAGGACGAGTTGCGATTTACAGAAACGAGGTACGTACCGTATCTGTACATGAGAGGGAGAGGGGGGAGAGAGAGAGAGGAAGTGGGAGAAAAAGGAAGGGAGACATATGGAATTCATGTATAAGGGACAAAAAAGGATACATGTACATGTACATGTATAATGTACATATACATGTACGTTGTATATTTAGTGTATGATTTTATGTGTTTATTTTTTCATAAAGGGCACTGGTACTGGTAGTTTTGCATACACTGGATCTATATATGGACAGGGCGATGGAGGCCGGTTTGGTATAGCAATAGCCACTCTTGGTGACATCAACAACGATGGATACAATGGTAACTCCCATTGGTATAACAGCATATCATACACGATGTTCATCTCTTTATTTCTCTCTATAGATTTTGCAGTAGGTGCTCCATTTGAGGGTGACGGGGTTGTATACGTGTATCATGGTCAAAATGTCAATGGATCTATTGTCAATACCACAGTACAGCAGGTGCATACAGACTAGTATATCCTTGGTTATATTCAGTATACTCTTGTGCACTATAGAGAATAAATGGAACGGAAGTTGCTCGCCAGGTGACTAGTCTCACGTCAGGAGTTCGTTCATTTGGTTTCTCTCTCACCGGCACTACTGATATTGATCAAAATGGATACAGAGGTGCATTAGTAATGCTGAAATGCTCTAGCTCGATCCTTCTCTCTCTCTCTCTCTCCCCCTCTCCCTCTCCCTCTCCTTAGATTTGGTGGTTGGTGCTTTTGAGTCCCAGACTGTATTTGTGTTGCGATCCATACCAGTCGCCGTTACCGACATTAGTTTTACTGCCAATGTCACTAGGGTTGCGTTGGGTATCTTTAATTGCACGTTTAATGGAGTCATTTATAACACCTGGTAAGAAAAACATGACCTCATAAGTCCATGTATATAGTCTAGTGTTGTTCCAGTTCTTCGGAACTAGAACTAGAATGGCTTAAAGTACAGGTTTTTATTTTTAGTTCCTGTTCTATAGACTGGAACTAAAAATATTTGTATTACAGTTAACTAGAACTATGTACTCATATTATTTAATTTACCCTACATTTACTGGAACTAGAACTAGAACTTAAATAAAATTATAACAGGTACTTTAACTTATACTGGAACTAAAATGGTCTAAGAACTAAAATACTATATAGGAAGTAGGATGTCACTGTCTATTGCTTCGCAAGAATATAGACTACTTGTAAACAATACTAAACTTTATTGCTATAAGCAAAAGCTTGTGTTTGGTATTGTTGTTTTTGTTTGAACTACAACCAAAACTATAAATGAACTGGAACTAAAATTAAGTACTGAAAATCAAAAGGACTAAGTACTGGAACTATATACCGGAACTGAAATTTAAAAAGCCTATAGTACTGGAACTAAACTAGAACTAAAACTTTAGCCATTATGGAATACTGAAACTAGTACTAGAACTAAAATTATTTTACTAAGAAGTAGGTAACTAGAACTGAAATTAAAAGTAATTTCAGTGGAACTAAACTAGAACTGAAATGAAAAAGTCATACTGGAACAACATTAATATAGTCATTGTTTCTATGAGGATATTATTAATACCATGATGAGTGAATGCTTGCTAATTTTATACAGCAAAATGAAGCCCACAATGTGTGGTACTGTTCATGCTTTCCAGGTGCTTGTTGTTGGCCAGCTGGCTTGCAGGATGAGGCCACACTTAGTTTATTTTATGTGAATTCCAATAAAACCACACATATCTAACCACATTCCTACATGTATATGTATATAAATATATAAACTATACTTTTACATGCACTGTAATGACAGTCCTTATTTGGTCAATATTAAGGCACATGTGTATCCCAGTATCATGTTGCCTGCTAAAGATAATTACATCACAGCAGTGAGTGGCCCAGGGCATTTGTATGCTTTCTGTTTAGTTCCATATTGTTTCTTATTTATAAATTTAATCATAATTTCCTCATCTTTAAATGTAAACAAACAATATTAATATTTATATAAGATAGTTTGATGGGCTCATTTTATTTCATTAATAGTTTTCAAGTTACCATAAACTCATCATATACTGGAATACAAATACCTTCAGGATTTAGTAAGAGAGAATCATTATTTATTATTAGCTAATATCATTATTATTATTATATTGTTGTTATTATTATCATCATCATCATCATCATCATTATTATTATTATTGCTGACAGGTACTTATTACGAACTGAGTGAGGTGATAGCTGCTGGTACACGTTCTCGTCTTTTCTTTGATAATACTTTACGTTCCTCTATAAGACGTCCAATATATTTGACTCAACCTAACCAAATATTCACTGAGAATATTATAGTATATGTAAAGGTATGTATAAAAATTGTTGATTTGTTTAATCATTAAATTGTATTTTTATTTTTTCTCTTCCTTTACTCATTTTTGATGCCTGTTTTGCTTTGTTTTTTTTTCAATCCCTAAAAATATGTTTGGTTTTTCTTAAATATTATTTAATATCTTTTTCAATATTCCAATCCACTCTCCCCTTATTCTTAGAACACGACTAATTTTAATGATTTCTACCTACGGGTTGGGCTAGAGCAGATACCACGTGATTCTTCTCCTGTGGATACTGATGTTCCCATTACTAGTAGCTTCTCTCAGATTCCAGTCATTCAGTTTCAGTATTTTGAGCAAGAGGTACGTGCATATGCAATGTACATGTTTATTTAGCTATATACATGTACATGTATATCATTAATGAGATTCATAGACGAGATATATCATATACATGTATAACACGCCAATATGGGTCGATAGCCGATACACCCTCCACCTCTGGTACTTTGAATCGATATCACCCTTGGGCCTTTGGCCCTTGGGTGATCAATTCAAAATATCCCCGGTCTCTGGATATCGACTCCCATATTGTTGTGTCATATACAACACATATATAAGTATATTAGAGAGTAAAAATGATAAACTCATATACATGTACTCGTAGTTCTGGGAGGTATGGAGCTAAACTTTGTGACACTAATGAATCGAATGTACATGTTTTGTGTCAAATTTGTAGCTGATTTTGGTCAGACTTGAATTTTTAAAGTTGCTCAAAAATTCGACCAAAGTTCCTATACTATAGTATAGGGATTTTGACCAAATTTCGCCAAAATTGACTAGGAGAGAATTTTCTATTTTTATAATTTTATCTGATGCATATACATGTACTTATGTTGTGTAGGAAGTTTGAACTAATTCCGATTAAAATCGAATTTTTTTATGAATTTTTAAGTTCCTTAAAAATTGGGCCAAAGTCCCTGTACTATAGTACAGGGTATTTTTTGTAAATACCTAAAGCCTGATTTACTCTTACCGACGTATTCAAGCACAAAATTAAAAATTTGGCCAATTTTGCATCAATTTTAAATTTTTTTTTTAAATTTTGAAAACGTCAAATCACCCATGCACTTTTCACTGTTATGTTGACTATCACATAAGATTTTATTATCAATGTCCATTTTTTTCTCTCTGATTATAGATACCTGTTGTGAGAGACTGTGGTCCTGATGGAGTGTGTATTTCTGACCTTATTGCAAATGCTCCTATTGCCAATATTAGATATACGTAAGTGCATGTATTGCAGCTATACATGTACACAAACATACAAAGCGTATAATAATTATGCTATTGTTATTATCATCATCATCATTATTA